CCAACTCAAAGTGATGTGTCAACATCTTACCAAAAAATGTACAGATCACAAACTCGAGTATATAAAAGTCACAGATCCCACATATTACACAAAGTAACAAGATTCTTAGGGTTTCACAATAATATGCTATTCTAGAACCTATGATTCCGTGAGAATCAAGTTCTCAGGTCAAGGGAAGAAACTAGAATAGGAGTTTGGGTACAAGTCTAAATAATATGATATAACGCAACAACGTTCAACAAAAAAATTTAAAAACGACAAGTAAATAATTTCACTTAGAAATTAAATAATGGCACGTAATCTTAGGTTTAGCATCAAGCAATGTTTACCAAGCAATGGCAACCATCAATCCTAATGATCACCCTACACAATGATCTGTTAGTGCGATAATTTAAAGGTTTTAGCCAATTTACCAGAGTGGACCACTTCTGAAGTCTGTAAATAGGAGAGATACGAATTTATTGCTTTAGGACCTCAATCTTGGCCTAAAGTAATCCGGTAAATACATAGCAGTCTGCAACAGCCGAACCACCAAGGGCAAAATCTTCCAAATTTTTCTATATAAGCTAAAACACGAAACAAATTATATTAGTACGTTCAGGACATTAAAATAAGCCGCTTGCTGCCCACGCACCGTCGGCCGTCGCCGCCGTCACCACCACGCACACCACCTAGAGGTGCAACTCAGCCTACTGAGTCTGGGTATGGCTTCAGATTTTTTCAGTAGGTGAGTGGTTTGGCCGGAATTTGAGTTTGCAGGCTCGGGTGTTTGAAGAACTTGGCGATTTTCAGCATTGTCCATCGATTTCTGGCCGGATTTCGCACATCCAGGTTCTGATACCAATTATAAGTGATAACCCATCCGACAAATAGAAGAAATTAACCAAGTTAGTAAGTGGATTAACACCAAACTATAAGAAAATCGACAAATGAAGAATGGAAATTAAAATGAACAAATAATCCCCTTTCTATTCGACTCAGAGATTCAATTCACAACACCACAAAGGGGTACACAAAAGGTTGGAGATAATAGTAGAATCTCAGAGGCACACTAAGGCTGAAGAAGATTGCACACAAAGGCAGAGACGGTTTCAGCTTCTTCCAAGAGGCACAAAGCAAAGTAATTTTTGGTGTGTTGAAAGCCGATGCCAGAGACTCCAATTTATAGGTAGGAAGTAAAACGAATTTCCAAGAGTTTCTCACAAAGATAGACTCCTCAAGATATGAAATTAGTTATCAAGGATAGAGATACAGAGGATAAGGATACCAATGCATCCAATCTGTTCTTCAATGTTATCTTCCAAAAACGGGTGTTGAACACCCAATACAATTGGGTTCCAACTCTTTGTAGTGTGGATTAAATGATATTCTTCAATCCTGGACTTATAGCACATGAAGTTAACGGGCCACGGTTTTTCATCATAGCCTAGAGGTTATTTGGACATCGTTAAAATACCCAACATAAATCATAGTTATTAATTCTGACCTGTCTCTTTGATTCAGTCAAAACACCGAATTAATGGCTAAACTTAACTGAAAAATCGAATATGAAATTATCTTCACGTTAAAGTATTTTTTTTACTTAAAAAAAGGAAGAAAAATAAGTGATTAAAATGAAATATTTTGTTAGAAAAGCTGTTCACTTTATGGTA